GGGGTTGGGCTTGGCCCCCTAGTTCCAGTGAAGGGAACTCTTAAGGCGACATTTTGGACAATTTCATGCTCCCAACTTTGTGGGAGGAGTTTGGGGATGGCCCCTTCCTGTTCCAACATGACTGCCCACACCAGTGCACAAAGCAAGGTCCATAAAGACATGGAGGAGCCAGTTTGGGGTGCAGGAACTTGACTGTCCTGCACAGAGTCCTGACCTCAACCCCATAGAACACCTTTGGGATGAATTAGAGCGGAGACTGCGAGCCAGGCCTCCTCCCCCGACATCAGTGCCTGACCTGACAAATGTGCTTCTGGAAGAATGGTCCAACCTTCCCATAGACACCCTCCTAAACCTTGTGGGGGGCCTTCCCAGAAGAGTTGAAGCTGTTATAGCTGCAAAGGGCGGAGCCAACTCAATATTGAACCCTAGGGACTAAGACTGGGGGGCCATTAAAGGTCATGTGCGTGGAAAGGGCGGGGCCAACTCAATATTGAACCCTACAGACTAAGACTGGGGGGCCATTAAAGGTCATGTGTGTGGAAAGGGCGGGGCCAACTCAATATTGAACCCTACGGACTAAGACTGGGGGGCCATTAAAGGTCATGTGTGTGGGAAGGCTGGCGGCCCGATACTTGGGCAATATAGTGTATATACAATAAAGAACTGTGGGGTTTACATACACTGAGTACATATCTGTTCTAGTGCTACCGAATCAGCAACAAATGTGTCATTACTAAAGATAACAAAGTAAGCTGTATCTTTATTTCCTGTACAAGCAATGTTTATAAACAATGTTACTTTGTATCTCTCTATCTCCCGTCTGATCGATGTTTATAAACAATGTTACTTTGTATCTCTCCATCCCCCGTCTGATCGATGTTTATAAACAATGTTACTTTGTATCTCTCCATCCCCCGTCTGATCGATGTTTATAAACAATGTTACTTTTTATCTCTATCTCCAGTCTGATCGATGTTTATAAACAATGTTACTTTGTATCTCTCTATCTCCCGTCTGATCGATGTTTATAAACAATGTTACTTTTTATCTCTATCTCCAGTCTGATCAATGTTTATAAACAATGTTACTTTGTATCTCTATCTCCCGTCTGATCGATGTTTATAAACAATGTTACTTTGTATCTCTCCATCCCCCATCTGATCGATGTTTATAAACAATGTTACTTTGTATCTCTATCTCTCGTCTGATCGATGTTTATAAACAATGTTACTTTGTATCTCTCTCTCCTGTCTGATCGATGTTTATAAAACAATGTTACTTTGTATCTCTCTATCTCCTGTCTGATCGATGTTTATAAAACAATGTTACTTTGTATCTTTTGTATCTCTCTATCTACCGGCTGATCGATGTTTATAAACAATGTTACTTTGTATCTCTATCTCCCCTCTGATCGATGTTTATAAACAATGTTACTTTGTATCTCTCCATCTCCCACCCGATCGATGTTTATAAACAATGTTACTTTGTATCTCTCCATCTCCCGTCTGATCGATGTTTATAAACAATGTTACTTTGTATCTCTCTATCTCCCACCCGATCGATGTTTATAAACAATGTTACTTTGTATCTCTCCATCTCCCGTCTGATCGATGTTTATAAACAATGTTACTTTGTATCTCTCCATCTCCCGTCTGATCGATGTTTATAAACAATGTTACTTTGTATCTCTCCATCTCCCGTCTGATCGATGTTTATAAACAATGTTACTTTGTATCTCTCTATCTCCCGTCTGATCGATGTTTATAAACAATGTTACTTTGTATCTCTCCATCTCCCGTCTGATCGATGTTTATAAACAATGTTGCTTTGTATCTCTCCATCTCCCACCCGATCGATGTTTATAAACAATGTTACTTTGTATCTCTATCTCCCGTCTGATCGATGTTTATAAACAATGTTACTTTGTATCTCTCTATCTCCCGTCTGATCGATGTTTATAAACAATGTTACTTTGTATCTCTCCATCCCCCGTCTGATCGATGTTTATAAACAATGTTACTTTGTATCTCTCCATCTCCCGTCTGATCGATGTTTATAAAACAATGTTACTTTGTATCTCTCTATCTCCCGTCTGATCGATGTTTATAAACAATGTTACTTTGTATCTCTCCGTCTCCCGTCTGATCAATGTTTATAAACAATGTTACTTTGTATCTCTCCATCTCCCGTCTGATCGATGTTTATAAACAATGTTACTTTGTATCTCTCCATCTCCCACCCGATCGATGTTTATAAACAATGTTACTTTGTATCTCTATCTCCCGTCTGATCGATGTTTATAAACAATGTTACTTTGTATCTCTCCATCTCCCGTCTGATCGATGTTTATAAACAATGTTACTTTGTATCTCTCTATCTCCCGTCTGATCGATGTTTATAAACAATGTTACTTTGTATCTCTCCATCTCCCGTCTGATCGATGTTTATAAACAATGTTACTTTGTATCTCTCCATCTCCCGTCTGATCGATGTTTATAAACAATGTTACTTTGTATCTCTCCATCTCCCGTCTGATCGATGTTTATAAACAATGTTACTTTGTATCTCTATCTCCCGTCTGATCGATGTTTATAAACAATGTTACTTTGTATCTCTCTATCTCCCGTCTGATCGATGTTTATAAACAATGTTACTTTGTATCTCTCCATCTCCCGTCTGATCGATGTTTATAAACAATGTTACTTTGTATCTCTCTATCTCCCGTCTGATCGATGTTTATAAACAATGTTACTTTGTATCTCTCCATCTCCCGTCTGATCGATGTTTATAAACAATGTTACTTTGTATCTCTCCATCTCCCACCCGATCGATGTTTATAAACAATGTTACTTTGTATCTCTCCATCTCCCGTCTGATCGATGTTTATAAACAATGTTACTTTGTATCTCTCTATCTCCCACCCGATCGATGTTTATAAACAATGTTACTTTGTATCTCTCCATCTCCCGTCTGATCGATGTTTATAAACAATGTTACTTTGTATCTCTCCATCTCCCGTCTGATCGATGTTTATAAACAATGTTACTTTGTATCTCTCCATCTCCCGTCTGATCGATGTTTATAAACAATGTTACTTTGTATCTCTCCATCTCCCACCCGATCGATGTTTATAAACAATGTTACTTTGTATCTCTATCTCCCGTCTGATCGATGTTTATAAACAATGTTACTTTGTATCTCTCTATCTCCCGTCTGATCGATGTTTATAAACAATGTTACTTTGTATCTCTCCATCTCCCGTCTGATCGATGTTTATAAACAATGTTACTTTGTATCTCTCTATCTCCCGTCTGATCGATGTTTATAAACAATGTTACTTTGTATCTCTCCATCTCCCGTCTGATCGATGTTTATAAACAATGTTACTTTGTATCTCTATCTCCCGTCTGATCGATGTTTATAAACAATGTTACTTTGTATCTCTCTATCTCCCGTCTGATCGATGTTTATAAACAATGTTACTTTGTATCTCTCTATCTCCCATCTGATCGATGTTTATAAACAATGTTACTTTGTATCTCTCTATCTCCCGTCTGATCGATGTTTATAAACAATGTTACTTTGTATCTCTCCATCTCCCGTCTGATCGATGTTTATAAACAATGTTACTTTGTATCTCTCCATCTCCCGTCTGATCGATGTTTATAAACAATGTTACTTTGTATCTCTCCATCTCCCGTCTGATCGATGTTTATAAACAATGTTACTTTGTATCTCTCTATCTCCCGTCTGATCGATGTTTATAAACAATGTTACTTTGTATCTCTCCGTCTCCCGTCTGATCAATGTTTATAAACAATGTTACTTTGTATCTCTCCATCTCCCGTCTGATCGATGTTTATAAACAATGTTACTTTGTGTGTCTCCATCTCCCACCCGATCGATGTTTAGTAAGTCCTTCTCTCTTTCTCTCAGTCTCGGTGTCACAAAGCTGGGCGAGGAGCTTCGATGTTTTCAATCACAGAGGCCAGCGGATATATCAGGCCAATCAGCATGTAGAGTGCTGTGGAGCCAACTTTGATGTGAAGGTCAGAGATAGCCGAGGGGATGACGTCATGGGTGTCGTAGAGAGGAACAGCTGCGGGTGTTCAAGAGAGGTAAGAGGCCTAAAGCCCAACTCCGGACTCCCTTATACATGCTGCCCCCCCTCCCCCACCATGTACCCCTCATGTGTGGTTTTGGTTTTATACACTAAACGTTCTACAGACACGGTACCTAAGCTGGTCACATGACATGCAGGGTCCTCTTTGTCTTTTCTCTGGGCAGTCCCCAATAACATGATGACGTCAGTGCCCCTCTCTGCATCAATACACTGTGAATGTAGGGCTCTGCACTGATGTCACTGATGTCCTGCACTCACAGTATGTCCTCAGTCTTCTGGGCTGGGTGATGTCAGGGGCCATTCGCCTTAGGAAGCTGAGGACATCTATTGGAGAAAAATACGTATTGCAGGGTACAGCTCTGGATTACAGGTGTGTATTGCAGAGATGAGTTTTTTTTTTTTTTTTGGGGGGGGGGGGGCTTGGCTGACCTTTTCAAGGAAAACAAATAATGTAGAGCTGGGTTTTACATTTATTCAAAGCAGAAAATACACCAAAACATACCAATAAAGGACATTCAGTCTAACAAGGAGTGCCACCTTCAGGAGGAACAGGGTCTATGGCCGCACTTCACAGTCCCCTACTTATAGCCAGAAGGTGCCGGTACCCGCAGATTCACATCTGGCCCCCATCAGTGGATCTGCCTGCTCGGGGGGGGGGGGGGGATCTCTCCCCTTCAGAACAGAACACCTTACTAGCACTGGAGGGAGCCAGGTGCAGCAGCATTTTCCCCACAAAAGTATTTCAGTCCTTGTATTTACCAAGGAGTTTAATGTGATTATATTCTGCCTTCCCTGCCCCCCCCCCCCCCCAAATAGACTTGCTAAAAAAAAGTTTCCATTTTCATTAAAACCTTACGATGTCATTACATTAGTGTAAGACTGAAGGGGAGGAGCTGGTACACCTGTACAAGACTGTAGGGGAGGAGCCGGTACACCTATGCAAGATTGGAGGGGAGGAGCCGGTACACCTATGCAAGACTGGAGGGGAGGAGCCTGTACACCTGTGCAAGACTGGAGGGGAGGAGCCTGTACACCTGTGCAAGACTGGAGAGGAGGAGCCGGTACACCTGTGTAAGACTGAAGGGGAGAAGCCGGTACACCTGTGTAAGACTGAAGGGGAGGAGCCACTACACCTGTGCAAGACTGAAGGGGAGGAGCCGGTACACCTGTGCAAGACTGGAAGGGAGGAGCCAGTATGCCTGTGAAAGACTGAAGGGGGGAGCAGGTGCACATGTGCAAGATGGAAGGGGAGGAACCAGTACACCTGCGCAAGACTAGAGGGGAGGAGCCGGTACACCTGTGCAAGACTGGAGGGGAGGAGCCGGTACACCTGTGCAAGACTGGAGGGGAGGAGCCGGTACACCTGTGCAAGACTGGAGGGGAGGAGCCGATACACACCTGTGCAAGACTGGAGGGGAGGAGCCGATACACCTGTGCAAGACTGGAGGGGAGGAGCCGATACACCTGTGCAAGACTGGAGGGGAGGAGCCGGTACACCTGTGTAAGACTGAAGGGGAGAAGCCGGTACACCTGTGTAAGACTGAAGGGGAGGAGCTGGTACACCTGTGTAAGACTGTAGGGGAGGAACTGTTACACCTATGGAAGACTGTAGGGGAGGAACTGTTACACCTGTGCAAGACTGGAGGGGAGGAGCCGGTACACCTGTGCAAGACTGGAGGGGAGGAGCCGATACACCTGTGCAAGACTGGAGGGGAGGAGCCGATACACCTGTGCAAGAGTGGAGGGGAGGAGCCGGTACACCTGTGCAAGACTGGAAGGGAGGAGCCGGTACGCCTGTGAAAGACTGGAGGGGAGGAGCCGGTACACCTGTGCAAGACTGGAGGGGGAGGAGCCGGTACACCTGTGCAAGACTGAAGGGGTGAGCAGGTGCACATGTGCAAGATGGAAGGGGAGGAACCAGTACACCTGTGCAAGACTGGAGGGGAGGAGCTGGTACACCTGTGCACGACTAGAGGGGAGGAGCCGGTACACCTGTGCACGACTGGACACACAGGGCAGTGCACAGCAGCGAGCACACATGAGTGCAGTGGAGGCACTCAGTAGGGGGGAGGAGCCTGTACACCTGTGCAACACTGAAGGGGAGGAGCCAGTACACCTGTGCAAGACTGAAGGGGAGGAACCAGTACACCTGTGCAAGACTGGAAGGGAGGAGCCGGTACACCTGTGCAAGACTGAAGGGGAGGAGCCGGTACACCTGTGCACGACTGGACACACAGGGCAGGGCACAGCAGCGAGCACACATGAGGGCAGTGGAGGCACTCAGTAGGGGGGAGGAGCCAAAAGCGCCATAGGGGGACCCAAGAAGAGGATGCTCGGGACTGCTCTGTGGAAAACCATTACAGAGCCGGGAAGTATAAAATGTTTTTGATTTAAAATAAATAAAATTTGAACTTTTAATTTCACTTTAATGTAGAGAGTGCATTACGGTAGAAAAAAAATGTGCCTTTAAAAATGTCCAATTCCTTTATATACCATTCCTAGGGGGGGTGTCCTAATCCTGCCTGTGAATGGGGCACAAAAAGTGTTTAAAATCGCTGGCAAATAGCATTTCATTTTTGGCTTCTTGAAAAAAAAAAAAACCCACAGACTGCTCCTAGGGTCTGCTATTTACGATGTATTTTTCCATAGCACATCCTACAGCAAGAATAAACAATGGAGGCCCCCCCACCCCAAAACACACACCAGACCCTTTGAGCCTTGTTATAGATTTGTAGAGGGTACCCCATGAAAAGAAAATGTGCAAGGTCGCTCAGGAAATCCACACCAGACCCTTTACAGATTTTAATGGGAACTCCATGCAAAAAGAAACAAAAAGGCACGAGGTCCCCCTAAAAATCCTTATGAGACCCTTAATCGGAGCACACAGCCTGGTTGCCAGGAAAAGGTAGGGGGCACCAGGGGCGGACTGACCATTCAAGCATTCGGGCACTGCCCGGGGGTCCAGGGTCAGTAGGGGGCCCCATGAGATGTCCCTGGTACCTTTTCATTGGCTTTTTCATAGGCTTTTTTGGGTGTGGGCGAGGACACAGAGGCCCCATGATCCCCTATTGCCTGGGGCCCCATGAGTTGTCAGTTTACCCCTGGGGGGCACCATCATTTTATGGAAGAGAGAGGCTTCTAAAGTCCTCCCCAATGTGTAGTGACAATTTTGTTGTCTCTGTTCTAGGCAGAAGTGATTCTTCCTCATGCTGGAGATTGCATCGGATTCATCACTTTTCCCTCCAATGCCTTCATCACCCACTTGTCCATCATGGACTCCTCAAGGGAGGTTCTCCTCCTTATCCTGGGTCCCAGCCTCAAGATCAGCATCTTCGGGAACATCACCTTTGAGGTATGAGGTACAAATCCAAACCATCTTATGATTCCAGGGATAGACTCTGTTTATGTTGTGTCTTGTGTCCTGATAATACAAAATGCATTAGAGAGTACATAGAACCATTCACATCGGTCCCTAAAAGTGGTTGCACTGTAAGTGTAGGGATCCTAACTTAAGCTGGAGTGTCTCTAGACTAAAGTTAGGGTTTGCAGCCAGGATATAGCCAGCCTGAGCTTTGTTGATGTTATCTGGGATCATTAGATTTCTCCTAAGCCCAAGATATTGTTGTTTTCTGTTGGTGTCTGGGGAATTTTCTCCAGTAAGTAGAATGAGAATGTAGCGGTACCCCCGTAGGAGCCTGCAGTATTTACAGGTCCCTTAGGTCTTTTCCCAGAATTGCCCCACAGCCAGGCACACAGTCACTTCTTTAGCTGAAAGAATAGTCTAGGGGTATGGCTTTTCTGATGCTTTATGAACTTTGATAGGTTCAGGGTGGTTGTGGAATACTCCAGTAAGTCTTAGCAGCAATTTTGAGGACACTGAACCTCCTTCTTTAGAACTTTGAGCCAAGTCCTTGTATAAGTGGATGGTGGACTGAGCGACATGAGGATGTACAGTAAATCCTCCTCTTAGAGATCTGAGCAGAGTCCTTTCACTAAGAATTATATAGACTGAGCTCTTCAGGACACCAGACACAATGTCCCCTTTACACACAGCTGACTCTCTAGCACCAGAGGAGTGGCAGCAGTCCATAGTCTCTAGGATCTCTGACACCATCCTGTACTCACACAGGTCTCAGATAGTCCTTCCAATATCTTCCAGGCTCTTTCTCAATGTGATACCAGACAATCCTCAGATGAAAAGCCTCTCAGTCAGCTCTACAAACTTTCACAAATATAGGTCTCCTCAGCTAGCCCAGCTGAAGCCTCAGTGAACTGCTAGCACATGGCAGAATTGACTAGGGGGCAAGCATCCCCCCTGGGCTGTGATCTCCTCCTCAGGGAAAAGAACCTTCTATTCCAGGTCTCAAAGTATTTATACACACTCCCAACCACCATCAGAGAAACTCCCCCCATGGATTGGCCAGGGCTGCATAAATATTCAGCTGCCTGTTTGACTCTTCCTGTCCACTACCTTCCAAAGTTCCCTCAGACATACAGGGGGAAGCAATCAACCCTGCAGCCAGTGAAACACAGAACAGACCAAACTAATTGCATGCAGCTGCACTGATTACAGTGAGCCAAGAACTACATTTACCCAACCCAGCACCTATCTAGGAGATTGCTACAAAAAGATACAAAGTATAGCATTATGAATATACATTCTACCCCAGCCAATAAATGGGGTGTTCATGCCAGCAATGGGGACTGCAGAAGAAGATAAATATTTCATGGAAGCTTCTAGAAGGGCCCTTGCCTTGCAGGTGGGAATGCGTGTTTACCGGGGTTTAGTCTTTGTCCTCCAGGCCTGCTACCTGAAGGGAGATGTCAGTGTGAGGAGGTGCGTTTCTTGGGGCCTAGTTTGCCTGGGGCCTAGGCCAAAAAACCAAGGAATCCAAGATGGCCTCAGTTAGGGCTTAAAGAACCAGAGAGATGGCAGCCTGTTGATGCAATTTCAGAGAAGTCTGCTATGCGGAATTATGTCCAGGCGAGCTTGGGGGAAGCTGCTGAAGGATGGACATGGTATGGAGAACTGGTTGCTGTGATGGGAGCGTAGGCAGGACAGAACACACAAAGAAGATGTTGAAAACACAAAGCTTTATTGAACTATGGAAGGCACTCAATCAGGGTAGGAAGGTAGCGTCCAGGTACCCAAAAAGGGGGAGAGAGGGGAGGAGCCCAACATAATTGTAATCCGGCCCATGATAGGGCACTCTAGGTAGCAATGGTCCGAGCACTCGGGGGCAGTCCAGGTAGCACTAATCTGGGCACACAATAGGGGCAGTTCAGGCAAGGGTAATCTGAGCCCACCATAGGGGCAGTCCAAGGCCCTCCGCAACATGCAGCTTGTAGGGACCCTCACAGTAGGTGGCTTGCAGACACGCAGCAGCAGGCGGCTTGTAGGGACACTCACGGGAGGCAGCTTGCAGACACGCAGCAGCAGGCGGCTTGTAGGGACACTCACGGGAGGCAGCTTGCAGACACTCAGCATCAGGCAGCTTGTAGGGACCCTCACGGGAGGCAGCTTGCAGACACTCAGCATCAGGCAGCTTGTAGGGACACTCACGGGAGGCAGCTTGCAGACACTCAGCATCAGGCAGCTTGTAGGGACACTCACGGGAGGCAGCTTGCAGACACTCAGCATCAGGCAGCTTGTAGGGACACTCACGGGTGGCAGCTTGCAGACACTCAGCAGCAGGCAGCTTGTAGGGACACTCATGGGAGGCAGCTTGCAGACACTCAGCAGCAGGCAGCTTGTAGGGACACTCACGGGTGGCAGCTTGCAGACACTCAGCAGCAGGCGGCTTGTAGGGACACTCACAGGAGGCGGCTTGCAGACACTCAGCAGCAGGCAGCTTGTAGGGACACTCACGGGTGGCAGCTTGCAGACACTCAGCAGCAGGCAGCTTGTAGGGACACTCATGGGATGAGGCTTGCAGACACTCAGCAGCAGGCAGCTTGTAGGGACACTCACGGGTGGCAGCTTGCAGACACTCAGCAGCAGGCAGCTTGTAGGGACACTCATGGGATGAGGCTTGAAGACACTCAGCAGCAGGTGGCTTGTAGGGACACTCACGGGTGGCAGCTTGCAGACACGCAGCAGCAGGTGGCTTGTAGGGACACTCATGGGATGAGGCTTGAAGACACTCAGCAGCAGGTGGCTTGTAGGGACACTCATGGGAGGCAGCTTGCAGACACTCAGCAGCAGGCAGCTTGTAGGGACACTCACAGGAGGCGGCTTGAAGACACTCAGCAGCAGGTGGCTTGTAGGGACACTCATGGGATGAGGCTTGAAGACACTCAGCAGCAGGTGGCTTGTAGGGACACTCACGGGTGGCAGCTTGCAGACACTCAGCAGCAGGCAGCTTGTAGGGACACTCACAGCGGTCAGCGGACTGGGACCCTCACAACAGTCAGCTTTCCAGGGACAATAGTGATCAGAAGACAGGGGCCCTCACAGCGGTCAGCTTTCCAGGGACAGCAGCGGGAGTCCTGGCTGTGGGGTCTGGCCTCAGTTCAGACCCCACACAGTGCTTATCCCGAGCGCAGATCAACACGGCAGGCTTGCAGGGGCTCAGCAGGATCTTGGCTGTGGGGTATGGCCTCAGCTCAGACCCCACAAAGCACCCTGTCCCGAGCAGGGACGAGCACACACGCACCCACCAGGGTCCCCCGCTGGCCTTCTTAAGCCGGCGCAGGACACTCCCCGGTTGCCCCGGCAATGGCCGGCCCAGCGTCGGGTTGCCGGGGCAATGAGGCCCTGCCCCCTTGACACGGGCCGTGCTCTCGAGAACGCAGCCTTTGTCTCCGGCACGGGAAACCTTGTGCCCGCTGGGGGGCGCGTAGAGACACCTTGGCGGCCCTTTGCTGGGGATTCTTGGTGGGGGGCCGAGAGGTGCTAACTGCACCACAGG